GGTGTGTCCCGGTGTGTCCCGGTGTATCCCGGTGTGTCCCGGTGTGTCCTGGGCTGTCCCGGTGTGTCCTGGTGTGTCCTGGGCTGTCCCGGGCTGTCCCGGTGTGTCCCAGTGCGTCCTGGTGTGTCCCGGTGTGTCCCGGGCTGTCCCGGGCTGTCCCGGTGTGTCCCAGTGTGTCCTGGTGTGTCCCAGGCTGTCCCGGTGTATCCTGGTGTGTCCCGGGCTGTCCCGGGCTGTCCCGGTGTGTCCCGGTGTGTCCCTGTCTGTCCCGGGCTGTCCCGGGCTGTCCCGGTGTGTCCCGGTGTGTCCCTGTCTGTCCCAGTCTATCCCGGTGTGTCCCGGTGTGTCCTGGTGTGTCCCTGTCTGTCCCTGTCTGTCCCGGGCTGTCCCGGTGTGTCCCTGTCTGTCCCAGTCTATCCTGGTGTGTCCCGGTGTGTCCCTGTCTGTCCCGGGCTGTCCGGTGTGTCCCGGGCTGTCCCGGTGTGTCCTGGTGTGTCCTGGTGTGTCCCGGTGTGTCCCGGGCTGTCCCGGGCTGTCCCTGTCTGTCCCGGTGTGTCCCGGTGTGTCCTGGGCTGTCCCGGGCTGTCCCGGTGTGTCCCGGGCTGTCCCGGTGTGTCCTGGTGTGTCCCGGTGTGTCCTGGTGTGTCCCTGTCTGTCCCTGTCTGTCCCGGGCTGTCCAGTGTGTCGTGGGCTGTCCCACAGCCAGAGCTGGGAGTGCAGGCACGGAGCCCCCAGGAAACAGGAGAAAAAAAGGAGGAAATTTGTGTTTTCCAGCCCAGATGATCTGTGGGATCAGTGCACTCGTGGGGCCACCCCACAGCAGAGCCTCTGCCCCCATCCCGTGCCCGTCTCCACATTAACCCTGACGAGCTGGCAATGCCATTCCCGGCCTTCTTTGCCTGCTGCATCCCAGAATTTTTACCTCGGAGTCTTAAAAAGGGGTTTTCCCAGGCCGATAAGCCCTGTTTTGGTTTCCTTCCTTTCCTTTTCCAGGGAACATTTTCTACCCTTTTAGGGCCGTGCTTGCCCCAGCTGCAGCCGGAGCTCCGCCGTGTGCGGGGGTAGGAAAAGGGAGGAGGGAAAAGATGGATCCAGTCAGGGAAAGGCGAGCCAAGGGCTGAGCCAGAGACATCTCTGCTCCCCCAGGAGGGATGAATTGGGAATTTGGGTGATGACGAAAGGTGCTCAGCTGTGCCAGACAAACACAAACCCCAATTACCTGCTCCCACTGATTTATTAAAAAATCTGGATATTGATCTAGTACCAATATCCAGCTGTGATGGACAAAAACTCTCTAACAGTTTAAAGTTAGAAAGTGTGTGTTTATTGTGTGCGGGATTGCTCCCAGATACACACCACAGCTTCCAAGTGATTACAGAGCCCTTTTATCCATATTGAATACCCAAAATACAAATCCATATTAATCATTTTGGTACATCCCATTCTTCACTTCCTATGCTAATAATTTCAAAAGCCATTCAGCATGCTTGGTTTGTTCCTTGAAATGGGTCGGTGTCCCTTCCATGGGGAGGGGTCCCAAAACGAGGAAGTCAATGAAGTCTTCATCTTCCTCGTTCTGACCTTTCTGCCTTTTCAATGCAAATATGACAAATGAACTCTTGGTGGAACTCCCATTCCTTGTCTTCAATTGGCTTCAGAACAGAGTGGGCCACAATTGTCTTATGTTCCTAAAGGCTATTTGTCATTTTATATTCTTCATTATAAACCCAGCTAACTAAACATTGTGCTGACGAGCAATCAATTATTAGTTAACTACTAACTCCTAACTTCATCAAGGCCTACTCATTTATTATTATTATTTTAATTAACTCCAGTAAAGATTATTTCTAACTAAAATCTTAGCTCCTCTAAAATATCTACATTCCTTAAAGTTTACGTTTCACCACCACCCTTGGTGCACCTCACTGTCATCCCACACAGCATCCCAAACAAACTGAGGCTGATTCCTGGGAAGTGGCTTTGGAGAAGAGCAAATGGAGGTGCTCTCCATTCCCATTCCCCTTCCAGGAGCAGCACCCAAGGCACTCCAGGACACAGTCTCAAGCTGCACCAAGGGAAATAGAGGTTGGATATTTGGAAAAAGTTTTTCACAGAAAGAGTGATAAAGTTCTGGAATTACTACCCGGGGAGGTGGTGGAGTCCCCATCCCTGGGTGTGTTTAACAAAGCCTGGAGGTGGCACTGGGTGCCAGGGTTTGGTTGAGGTGCTGGGGCTGGGTTGGACTCGATGGTCTTGAGGTCTTTCCCAACCTGGTGATTCTGGGAATTCTGTGCAGGGCTGTGTCCCAAACACCCCAGGATCCCTCGGCGTTCCCAGCTCCAGCGCAGCCTCTGCCTCTCCCATTCCCCACCAGCTGCCAGCAGCTGGGAAGTGCCCTGGGATCTGCAGGGCTGGGGGGACAAGGGGCTTTTTTTGACAGCTGCAGCCAGAAAAAAATCCACCAGGGATTCCCTCGCTGGCCTCTGCCTTTCCCAGCCCAGCACGGCCAAGAACATGAGCTGCTGCTTTGGCACCGGGAGCAGGGAAGTGGAGCCACCTGCCCGCCCTCCCCCCAAACACCCCAAAACCACACAGAGGAGTTGGTGTGCCTCATGCAACCAGGCAAAAACTGTTCCTTTATGTTTTTCCCTGTAGCTTTCTTTACTCTATGGCTGTTTTTTGGGGGGGAGAAGGGTAAAGGGGTTTTTGGTAGGGCCAGGATATAAAATTGCAGGGCAGGGGGAGGACAGGGACCATGTGAGACCCTGCAGGATGCTGTGCCTGTCTTTTGACCCATCCAAAGACATCCCCAAACCCTCTCACCTCCCATGGGGTTACTCCCACGAGGCCTGGACACAGCCTGCCCAGGGCCTCAGGGTGCAGAGCCAAACTTTGGGAACAGCCTGTCCATCAGCGCCAGAGCTCCGGAAAAATCCCAAGCCCGTCGGTGCCAGAAGCGCGGCCTGAGAGAACATTTTTTCTTTCCCAGGGCTGGGGGGGGGATGAGGGGATGAGTATCACTTACCCTCTGTGCTTTGGGACCTGGCAGGGGCCAGGCCCTCCCCCTGGCCCTGGGGGAAGTTTCCCCATAAAAGCAGGAGAGGCAGGCTGGCCCCAGCACAGGCAGCTCAGCCACTGCCACGGCCCAGCATGGGGACAGCCAGCAGCGTGCTCTGTGCCCTCCTCGTCCTCTCCACGCTGTGCTGGCACAGCCTGGCCCAGAGTGAGCATTGCCCCAACCCAGGGGCTGGGGATGGGGACAGAACCTGGGCTGGGATGGGGACAGAACCAGGGATGGGATGGGGACAGAACCAGGGATGGGATGGGGACAGAACCAACGATGGGGACAGAAACAGGGATGAGATGGGGACAGAACCAGGGATGGGATGGGGACAGAACCA